TGGATTCTGTGTGTCAAGAGCTCTTATCTGTACCAGTGTACATGCTCTGGTCTAGCCAGATTTGTAAGGTAGAATTGGGGTCATGATAGCGGTGAGAGGGTGAACATTAAAGAACTAGAGGAATGTTGTATGTTCTGTCAGTGTTATACTGCACCCTGGCTAGCTAGTCCATTCCTTGTGACCCTTCTGTGAGGGGATGTCCAATGGTCTATAGATGGGCTTTGGGTCTCTACTCTGCCCCTCCCCTTCATTTGCATTGATATGGTTATTTGTTCTGGGTCTTCTGATGTCCGATACCTAATGCCATTGACACCTCATGATCAAAGAGGCTGGTGTGTTTCTTCCATGTTGACTTTGTTGCATCCCAGCTAGATGGCCACTTGTGTATCTTCAAGACCCCAGATGCTATATCTTTTGATAGCAGGGCACCATCAGCTTTCTTCACCACATTTGCTTATGCACACATTTTGTGTTCAATGATTGTGACGGGAAGGTGAGAATGCTGGGTTGTTAGAACAAAGTGTTCTTGTGTTGAGGGAATACTTGAGTAGAGGCCCAATATCTGTCTGCTACCTTATTATTTCATATATAATATATGTACATAAAACTAGGTCCCTATCGCTATATATAAATATAGTTAGATAATGCGTTCCTGTATTTATACCTCTATAAATGTCCTTTGCCTCCTACCTCTTTCCTCTCTTTCCTTGCTCAATAAAGTTTTATTGGAACAGCCACACTCATATTGTCTATTACTACTTAAGCCCCACAAGAGCAGAGTTGAGTAGTTGCCATAGAACCCATGAGGCTCCTCCAACAGTACTCTCTACTTTGCAGCTGGGCTCAATAATTTATTGTTAAGAACCACACAGAACTCACAGATGATACTCACAATTATGGTGTTTGGGGGAGAGTTAACAGGTTAAAATTGAGCTGAGAAATGCTCAGGATACAGTTGTTTGCTCAGGACATTCTTCTCTGCTGTGCCTGCAGGCAGACCACTTTCTGGTCCTCACCCTCTGGGCCTGGCCTCTGCCCGGCTTGGGAAAATTACAAAGCCCTTTTAGGGCTGCCAATGAATGCCCAAAGGGCATGCCACTCCTCTACAAGACTCAACCCAAAGGCACAAGCTCCAGTTCCATGAGTCAACAAGACCCAGCCCCTCCAATTGTGTGCCAAGTATTCAGTTTTACTTGCTGTCGTCTGGGAAGTCCCCTCTCTGCCTCACACTCTGGCGCCTGGTTCTGCTGCTGCTGCTCTGCCACTCCTCTGGTGTTACAGCTGTCTCTTGGATCAAAGAGGGCATCCAAAGGACATGCTACACTCCGGGCCCTTTTCTTTTGCTGGTTGTTGTCGTTAGGTGCTGTTGAGTAGGTTCGGACTCATAGTGACCTTATGTACAATAGAATGAAACACTGTATCCTCACAGCTATCCTTTTATTTGAGCCAATCAATGCAGCACAGTGTGAATCAATCTCGCCAAAGGTCTTCCTTTTTCACTGCCCCGACTCTTTCCTAAGCATGATGTCTTTCTCCAGGGGCTGGTCTTTCCTAAAACCGTGTCCAAAGTCCATGAGATGGAGCCTTGTCATCCTTGCTTCTAAGGAGTATTCTGGTTGTTAGCTTTGCCAGTGTCATCTCACTGACATCAAATCAATGCCGATTCATAGTGATGCTACAGGACAGGGTAGAACTGCCCCTGTGAGTTTCCAAGACTGTAACTCTGTACTGGAATAGAAAGCCCTTTCTCCAGAGGAGCGGCTGGTGCTTTCGAACTGCTGACCTTGTGGTTAGTAGCCCAACACATATCTAAATGGCCACCAAGGCGCCTTCCTACTCTACACAGGGCCACAATAAGTCAAAAACAGTGGAGGGAGGGTGGGGTAGAAAGGGGGAACCGATTACAGGGATCTACATGTGACCTCCTCCCTGGGGGACGGACAATAGGAAAGTGGGTGAAGGGAGATGTCGGACAGTGTAAAATATGACAAAATGAGAAGATATTATAAATTATCAAGGGCTCATGAGGGAGGAGGGAGTGGGGAGGGAAGTAAAAAGGAGGAGCTGATGCCAGGGGCTTAAGTGGAGAGCAAATGTTTTGAGAATGAGGGTCACAAATGTACAAATGTGCTTTATACAATTGACGTATGTATGGATTGTGATGAGCTGTATGAGTCCCCAATAAAATGATTTTTTAAAAAAGTCAAAACCAACAACCTTTTGATTTCTATACCAGGTGACACCGTGAACAGTTGTTACATTATTAGCATATTCAGTAAAACTTAGGGGAGCTGGAACTCAGAGCCACCTTATATAGTACAGTCTTAACACTTTTCTATGGCAGTTAGTGAAAAAATATTTTGAGTATTCCTTCTGATAGGCTTCTGCCTATATTAGAGCTTAAATTCTGAGCAACCTGATTTGCAAAAGGCTTATAGATGGCAGTGACAGCCTTAAATTCATCTGTAGGGTTCCCATAGAGATTAGCCTACACTGAATACTTTCTGATCATTAACCGAGGATGTAGATAATCTTGACCTTAGGTAAAATAATTTGGAAGTAGATTACCTCCACGTCTCTTCAGCCAGCCTGGGGAGGGGAAATCTCTCTCTTAGGGGCTTGCCTGGGTGCAACCTTGATGAGGTCACCATACAGGGGACAGTACTGGGGGTTGAATACTCTAGTCATACCCTATGAATCTCACCCTGTGTTGGTCGAAAGGCCTTGGACCAATCTTGTAAGCCTTCTATCTAGCTTAATGTATGTGTCCCCATCACGTGTCCTCATTGCTACTTCTGTAGTCCCACCTGTAACTATGATGTGTTGAGTGATCGGCTAGCAATCATGAATTTGTGACAGTTCCCTTTGTTCCGTGCCCAATTTATCTGGCCACCTGGGCTGAAACATCCTTGGCCATTTTGGCCTCGTCTCATACTAATGGCCTCCCTCATCCCAGTCATGTCTATGCTTCTGTGTTGTCTCTTTTAAGACTTACTAAATGTTCTCCTTAAGTTATATTTGAGATGGGGTCCCTTTTGTACCCTAAAATGTCTTACAGGTTCCAGCTTTCCCAGATGTTTTACTGTATAAGAGGGGGTACTCCCCCCTCCATAAAAACCCATGCTCGTTTTTTGTTTTTTTTTTAAATGCGACGGGGAATAGTACATTTGGAGTTTGTTACACCAGGTCAGACTGTTAATCAAGCTTTCTATTTAGAGGTTCTGAAAAGATTGTTTAACAGTGTATGACCAAAAAGAGCTTGATTTGTGGCAGACGAGGGACTGGTTCTGTCACAACAGTGCATCTGCTCACAGAGCCATCTCACGGTGCCAGTTTTGAGTAAAACCCAGCATGCCTCTCTTGCCCCACACACCTTACTCACCTGAGCTTGCTCTGTGTGACGTTTTAGTTTCCGTGAATGAAGAGGGACATGAAAGGAGAGTGGTTTGATGTCATGGAAGAGGTGAAGAGAAAAATGAGGGACATGCTGTCAGCCATCCAAACAGATGATTTTGAAAAATGTTTCCAAGAATGGACTTGAAGATTTGACAAATGTATTAAGTGTAATGGAGAGTACTTTGTGAAGGTGATCAGGTTGTTTTATTAAAAAAAATCTAACTGCATAGCATTGAAAAAAATTCCAGGTTTTTAAAGGGTAACCCTTGTATGTTTTCCCTAAATACTCTAAACCACTAAAAAAGGGGACTTGTGTGTGGATTATGAGCCCACGTTAGTGGTTTCAGACTTGAAAGAGCATCTAAATCAAGTCTCTACTTGTTTTTCTTATCTCATAAAGCTAAGAAAACTGGGTCCCTCCTTAGCTTCTGCTTCAGCAGGTTTGTTGTGGGTCCTCAGGATTACCATTTTCCAATAGTTCCCAGACAATCCCCACGTTGCTGGTTACCGGGATAGCCTTTGGGAGCCCCTGGCTTAAAAGTATGCGATCTTATTATCCCATTCTAATCCCTGCTTTAGAGAGAGTTGGCCAGCTTGGAAACAAACCCCAAGGATCCAAGACTCAGCTCCCAGAGGAGGCACCAGAGACTCCGCGATTCAGCCGGAATTCAAAGAAACCCGTTCCGGACCGCCCAAAGCTGCGCGAGAGTCTGCGTGATGACGTCACCGCCCGCGCCCGCGCTACGCAGACGTCGGCGGCGACGTTCGGCGGCGAGCGGAGCAAGATGGCGATTCCGGGCAGGCAGTGAGTGCTGCGGGAGTCAGGGCCAGGCCGGGGACGGAGAAGCCAATGGACAGTGGCCTTGGAAGTGAAAGGGGCTTGGCCGTCAGGCTTAGAGCCGGGGAAGCCCGGGGGACACGCGTGCCCCTCCCCCGAGCGCTCTGCAGCTTGGAAGCCGGAGTGTGAGGGAGAAACTTGCGAGGAGATACAGGAAGTTAGGCTGAGGGGCAGAGAGCGAGACTTTTCTGTTTTCCAAAAGCTCGGTCTGAGGCCCCTCAGTCTTGCTTCCTACTCGGCGCTTGCGTTCCTCCCCGTGGATGCGCCCGGGACAGTGAGAAGAGACGGCCCGGCCTCCCGACAGCAGGCCCTCCTGCTGGCAGCAGCTGCAGGCCTGCTGCCCGTCCTTCGCTCGTTTTTGCTTTGATTTTGGAAGGAATGTTGTTTTGAGAAACCACAGGGAAAGGGTAGGCCTTTAGGGGGCGGAGGGGCACGTGGCCGCAAGAGACAAATACTGTGCCCACTCGGAAGCTTAATTTTGTTGGGGACATCGGCTTCCCGAGACATCTAACTCTTAGGGCCCAAGCAAGAGAAACGAAATTAAAGTGTCACAAACATATCTGTAAAGCAGCCCTATCAAGGACTCCCCAGTTGGTTCGTGCGGGTTCCATTACCCAAGAACTTAAGTTGAAAGTTCCCAGGAAGGGGGGTGGGGGGGGTCTTCACCGGGTTAAATTCGTGTTTTTCTGTTCAGTGGACATGAACTGAGCCCTTCCTTGCCCACCAACATGCCCTTTGTCGAAGGGTACTCTCACTCAGCATCTAAAACATCTCGCAGCTCGTCCGTTGTCATCCTTGATTAGAAAGGGGCATGTGTGCCAGGCCCAGGTCAGGCAGAGTAATCATTAACAATACACGTGGCTTATAAAAATGTTGGGATCATTGGAAATCAGAAATATTTTGCTATATGTTTATGGGCTATAACATTTCACTTGGTAGCTTCATCTGGAAGATGTAGTGAACGTGTTGGGTACTTTATGGGGAAACATTTACATATAATGGTGTCATTTCTATTTGAAAAACTATGCAGGTATGGGCTTATTTTGCCAAAGAAAACACAGCAGTTGCATCCTGTTTTGCAAAAGCCATCAGTGTTTGGGAATGATTCTGATGATGATGATGAGGTAAGGATACTGCATTCTCTCATGAATTGTTGGAAGTACACCATTTGCTTCGCTTTTCATTGAACTTATGAGTTTCATGTCTTTGTTTATCTTAGTTAGTTGTCACAACTGTGTCTGTGATGTGTAGGATAAGTGAACAAAGTACTACTTAGTGACGTTCCACTAATTGTTTTATCTTTAAAATGAAAGTCTTATAAAAGATATTTTTAATCGATTTATTACGGCCTCATACAACTCTATTACAATCCATACATACATCAGTTGTGTAAAGCACATTTGTACATTCATTGCCCTCATCCTTCTCAAATCTTATAAAAGATTTTTTAAAACTTTTAGATACATAGTCTTTTTAATTTATTTTATTTTAATTTTTTTCATAGTCCTTTTTAGACAACTAATATTAAGTGTCAAAATTATTGATTACATGAAGATCTCTAAGAACTATTGAAATGTCACTAGTTTCCTAGAAATTTTTATTAGCAAAGTAGTTTTCTAATTTCTTAGACATTAAGTTCTAGGGTGATTGGGTTCTTTATGAGAATACTTTTTGATTATGTCCTCACTGCTAAAAGTAATTGCTGTTATAGTAATTGACAGTATTAACTAACATCTAATAAGAACATTTTGAACCTGAGCAGCCAAAGCAGTGTGTTACTGTGAAGCTCACAGTTTCTAACACCAGCAGTCCAAATGTGTGCTTACTAATGTTTCAGTCATTTTTTATAGCTTTCAAATAAAGACCTCCACATCAGTTAACCTCATACTTTGTTCTGGCAGAAAAATAGCTCTCCTTTACATTCATATTAGTTATATGACCCATTGAAGCATAGGGAACTCCATAAGACAGAATAGAACTGGTCCTTAGGATTTCTGAGCCCAAGTCTTTCTACAGGAACAGTCAGCCTCATCTTTATCTAACAGAGCTGCTGGTGATTTTGAACCACTGACCTAGCAGTTAGCAGCTTAACCCATTGTACCACACATACCAAACCTGACATCAAGTGGGATTTACACTTAATTTAATCCGTCTCCAAAACTGACTTTTTCTATTTTTCTGTGCAGTCTCTTTTTAATGGTAGAATCACAAAACGTTATTGAAATGTAGATGGTGAAGTGATTCACTTTGCTATGGGGAATTAGTGCAGGAATGGGCATTTAAACAGCTTGTAAGGCTTGTTTGAGTTGAAATGGGTAGAAAGATGAAGCGGATATTTTAGTTGGTGGGATGGACAGCAAGTAATATAGAGCGAACATGAAAATACAAGACATTTTTGTGAAAGAATGTGACTAGGAAGAAGGATATTTATGAAAATGTGGCTGCAGAGGAGATTATAACAGAATCAGGTCAGGTTATGAAGTACCTTGAAAGCGCTTGGTAATTTTTACTTTGTAAAGCGTTTCTGGTATGCGATGGGCATTTTTGAGCTGTGATATGAGAATCACTTATTTTGGGAAGGTAGTTCCAATATTGTCAAGCACAGAAAGGCTTTAATGCAGAGGACTGGCTTTATAGGTGATGTAAGACCTGATAAAGCAAAAGGAGTGTTGAGCCAACACAGAGATTAAGAGCAGCAAGAAGGAAACTTATAAGATGAAGGGACACGGCGAAGACACGGGTGTTGGAGACCAGGTTCACTTGGTGGGACTAGGTCTATCCAGAGAGAACTTAATCCCATCAGAGGTTTAGCCTTAGGTCCAGAGGAAAGCATGTAGAGATACTCTGGCTTCTCCTTTCCTGGTGACCTTTACTATACGGTCTCTGTAGACCCCAGCCAGAGCCTCTGACACGGGTGCCGCAGCTGATGAGTAGGATATATAAAATTGGTCTTTAGTGGGGCAGGGGAGGGAGGGGAGAAAAAAACAAAAGAGCTGATACCAAGGGCTCAGTAGAAGTAAATGTCTAGAAGAGAATGAGGGCAATATATGTACAAACATGCCTGATTCAATTGATATATGGATTGTGATAAGAGTTGTACGAGCCCCCAATAAAATGATTTTTTTTAATAAAATGATTTTTTTTAAACTTAGTCTTTGGTGTAATTTGTTTATTTATAAAAAATCAGCGTGGTGGGGTCCAGCTTTTCTAGAGAGTTAAATGTGAGGTTTGACTGTGTTTTTAAATACTTCAAAATTAATTCCGTTTTGCAGTTTAAGCAACAATAAAATTACCAGTGCTTTGAAAAATAAAGAGAAAGATATTTCATGAGAGGAGCTAATGTGAAGCAGAGCAATCTGTAATTTCCAGTAATTGGAGCAAAAGCCATGAAGAGCTCAATTTTAAGACCAGGATTTCCTTTCATGTGTCCAGCAGAGGGTGCCCTAGCATGTGAATTGTATCTGTAGCTTTAAAAATGTGAAATTGGGAGTCTAGGTTTTAATGATTTAAGTAGTTCTTTTTAAAGTTGTTAGGATGGTTAGAAATAAGTTTTCTTTTGTGTAGAGGTAGAAGAGCTAGTAATGATGGTGACCGTTTTTTACCCCTCTGAGTAAGTTCTCATTCTGACACTGCTGTGGGATTTTAAGTGTTTGTGTAGTTCTGCTGTCATAAGATATACTTATTCCCTTTTCTCCAGTCCTTTCTCTCTCTCCCAGTCACCACTTTCAGCATTTCTGTAATGGATACTTTTAATAACTTCATAGCCAGTTATGTTTTCATCTACCTTTCCCTGAAATTTATTTTAAATGAATTTCTTCTCGTCAATGTTACTCCCTTGTTCCCAAACTTCGAGTGTTCATCCTGAGGTAGAAAGCTTCTCCATTCTTTGACCTCAAACTGCTGTTGACAATTTTCTCCTACCTGTCAGAGTTTTTTACAACTCTGATTTTCTTCCCCCTGGAAATAGTCTCGCCTTCATTGCATGCCTAAATCATAACCAAAACGACTTCCTTCAAGATACCTTGTTTGAGTCCCACCCCCTCCCCCATTGGAAATAATCACTTTCTTTTTAGGACACTTTATCTTACTTGCAGCACTTGCTTTTTACAACTTGTTTTATGAGGTATTTGTTTACCTTTTACTCTTGTGGAGTGTGAATTGCGTAAGTTAGAATCAGGATGTCAAGGTTCTAAGGAAGAAGATTACTCACCCAGGTATTTTAGCTGTTGATATCACAGAGAGCCAGAGAGTAAATGTTTCAGACTTTGTAGGCCCTACAGTCTACTAGTTGTGCCATCCCAGCACAAAAGTGATCATTAGAGAAAATGCAAACAATTCATATGATTGTGTTCCATCGTAACATTATGTATAACAACAGAAGGTAAAGTAGATTGCATCCACATCCTGTAATTTGCTTATCTTTGGTTTGCGCAGTTCTTGAAAGTACTGTAATAACCAGTATCTCACAGTGCTTATAAAATTCACACCAAACTCACTGCCATTGAGTAAGTGTCCTTATTGGATGAGGTAGAACTGCCCCTGTGTATTTCCAAAACTGTAACTCTTTACTGGAGTAGAAAACCCCATTTTTCTCCCAAGGCCTGGCTGGTGATTTTGAACTGTTGGCCTTTTGGTTAGCAGCTCAACAAGTAACCAGGGACCCTCCAAGTGCCTATAAGGTGATTAGTAGTTAAAGTAGATGTTGCGGAAGTAACCCTGGTCGTGTAGTAGTTAAGAGTTGGCTGCTAACGCAAAGGCTGACAGTTTGAACCCACAAGTCACTGCAGGAGACAAATGGGGCACTCTGCTTCCGTAAAGATTACATCTAGGCTTGGAATCCGATGGAATTCTATCTTATAGGGTCACTATGAGTAGTTAGAATCAACTTGAATGCAACAGGTTAGATGTTGTCTGACAGATGAAACAACTTTCTTTTAGAGAATTTCTCTCTGATGAATGAATGCTTATTGTATGCTGCATAATGGATTTCATTTTTTTTTAAATCATTTTATGGTGGCCGCTTACAGCTCTTATTACAATTCATACATTATCCATTTTGTCAACCACATCTATACATATGTTGTCATCATCTTTTTCAAAACATTTTCTTTCTACTTGAGCCCCTGGCATCAGCTCCTCATTTTTACCCCTCCTCCCCCTGCTCTCCCTCCCCCATGCCTCCTTGATAATTTATAAGTTCTTTTTTTTTTTCCATGTCTTCCACTGTTTGTCCTCCTGGGATGGGGGCCATACATCATCATTGTGATTGGTTCCCCCTAACTCCCCACCCCTCCAACCCCTACCCTCTCCTAGTATCACTGCTCCCCTTATTGGCCCTGAGGGATTTATCTGTCCTGGATTCCCTGTGTTGTGAGCTCTTAACTGGACTAGTATACATGTTCTGGTCTAGGCAGATTTGTAAGATAGAATTGGGGTCATGGTAGCGGGAGGAGGGTGGGGAGCATTAAAGAACCAGAGGAAGGTTATGTGTTTCACTGGTGCTATACTGCACCCTGACTGGCTCTTCTCTTCCTTGCAGCCGTTCTGACGGGGTGTCCAATTGACTACTGATGGCTTTGGGTCTCCACTACCACCACCACCCCTCATTCACTATGATACGATTTTTTGTTCTTTGATGCTTGATACCTGATCCCATTGACACCTCATGATCACACAGGCTGGTGGGCTTCTTACATGTCGGCTTTGTTGCTTCTCAGCTAGATGGCCGCCTGTTTACCTTCAAGCCTTTAAGACCCCAGACGCTGTCTTTTGATAGCCGGTCAGCATCAGCTTTCTTCACCACATTTGCTTATGCACCCATTTTGTCTTCTGTGATCGTGTCAGGAGAGGTAAACATCACAGAGTGCCATGTTAGTAGAACAAATTGTTCTTGCATTGAGGGAGTACTTGAGTGGAGGCAAAATGTCCATCTGCTACCATAATACTTTATAAATAAATATATGTACATATCTCTATTCCCCTGTCATTGTATATAAATGGATTTACATATATACATGCTTGTATTTAGACCTCTATAACTATCTTATGCCTCCCAGTTCTTTCCTCTATTTCCTTTTACTTTCCTCCCTTCCCACTATCATGTTCGGCCTTCATTCGGGCTTTG